AACTAGGTTAAGGAAATAGGCCACTTTATCTTTAGAAATCCTGGGTGGCATGTTATGTGGACATGGTCTGAATGAAGGGGTGTTTCATCTACCTTTTTTTTAAATGTAATTTTGATTCCTCATTAATAACTATGTCCCAAGAGCTGTGTGCTTTCTTACTTAGCTTTAACAGTTGATCGTTCCTAAACATCTCTTATAATCTGTGAAATTTATCTCTGGGTTATAATGTTGAGTTTGCACTGTTTCATCAGCAAAGAATGTGCTCAGGTCAAACACTTTTTTTGAGCTCATACCCTCCTGCTTTGGTCCTTTTGTCTGGCCCTTCATAAACTAGACAGGAAGTTAGTATGTTGGGTGATATTGTGGGCATAGTAATTTTATTAGTATGTTGTAAAACTGGTATAGTTCTTGTCAGAGAAAATTGCTTTAATATAAATATAAACTTGAAGGGAAAGAACTTATGGTCTGAATAATTTACCATCTGCGTAAGGCTTGAAGAACTTCTTAAGCTAGTTCAAGTCCTTAAAAGTTATTTTGCATTATAAAATGCTCAAAATCCTCACCTAAACTATTGTGCACAGGACTGTACAGTTGAGGAAAACCTCTCGCCCAGTTAACCTGTATTTCAGGTGGACAGGCAGACAAAAGGATGAGAAGAAATAGAAGTATAGAACAGTGCCACGAAATGAAGACTAACTAGTGTGCAATGGCAGTAGGCTGGAATTCAAGTCTCACTCTCATCCAGCCCCTTGTGCTGAGGGACAACACTGAGTCTGACATCAGTAGAAATATCTCCAATGAAGTTAGACCTGTGAACAGGTAGATGTCTTACCAGAAAACCCCTGATGTTGTTCTTCTCCTCTTGATTTATCTGAAGTGAGCACCATAGTTGTGGTAGACACCACATGCAGACTTGCGTAGGTTTTGGCTATTGTGGCTTTGCTCGTACTCCAGAAGGCAAAGAATTTTGCCACTGCTGCTTCTCTGCATTACCTAAGAAATCTGCATGGCAAGAGAAGCTTTCTCATTTCAGCACTTTGAAACTGTCAGTGGTATTTAAAATAAATTATTTTAACCAAGATGGCTATTTCAGAGCATCCTGCTGTCGGACGCCATCTGTTTGGTAAGCGTCATCATTTGTGACTTCTGCAGTGTGGGAACCAAATGTCAGAGACTGTCAAAGCGTTTTCCATCTTGCTCTAATTCTGGCTGAACAGAAATCCTGTTTATTCACTTTGCTCAGGTAGTGTACAGTAGGCTTTTTAGGCTTTTTAGTCAAGCCAGGATTACAGTCAAGTGAAAACTGTAGTCTTTACACAACCAAATTTCCTCAGAACAAGAATTTTTATAGAACTGAGGTACAGTTTTGGTCAATTTAAGCTGTCAAAGAAAAATCAGATGTTACCATGTCAATCACTACTAGCTATGAGTGTGCTAGGTAGATTTTTTTTTTTTTTTTTGAGAGTGTTCTCAGTTTAATGTATTATTATTTCAGGTATAAAATTGAAGCTTGGTTTCTCCTGGCCACTTAACGTTTTGTTGATGTTTTCCTAAACATACAGTGCTGATCCAGACATTCTAAAGAAAGTATTTTTCCTTGTCTAAACTATCCCATCATCTTAAAGCTATAGTCAGTATGTTATTTTGCACTGCTGGGCCTGGTTCTCAAACATTTGGGCTTCTCCAGTTCAAAGTTTAGTAGCTGTGGTTTTGTTTTTCTCTCTTGATTTTCTGTTTATCTAAACTTCTGTGTGTATGTCATACAAGAGTCTCAGTTAAATGATGAAGCATGTGGGAAGAACATGGGCAAAGTTTCACTGAACTGTACACAAAAATACTGTGGTTCTGACTGGTGACACATCATTCACTGTTATCATCAACATCTTTTAAGCAGTGTTGGTCTGCCAGGGTAATACTGTTACAGCTTTTGGCTTTGTGTTGCAGAAAAATAAAACAACATGTGATTGTGTAGTTGTGGGTTGATTTATTTATTTATCTTTTAAATTTATGGTGAAAATCAGATTGACTTCTCCCCCCCCCCCCGGTCACGTGACTGAATTTCACAGACCAGATTAACAATCATCTTCTCTCAGGAAAATGCTGTGAATGGAGAGCATCTGTGGCTGGAGACAAATGTTTCTGGGGACCTCTGCTACCTGGGGGAGGAAAGCTGCCAAGTCAAATTCTCAGTGAGTTATTTCCACTTTTTCTTATTTCTTTTTGAGGTAACAAGCCTGACTTCAGACTGATACAGTACTCAGACTTGGGAGCTTGAATAGTTTGCTGTCATTGATGCTTGTGTTCCAGAAAGAATGCAAAAGGGGCAAAAAGCTGCTGGATGAAGACTGTTGCTTGGGGAAAAAGCCCTGAGGAATTTTGTGTGACCTAGATTATTTACACAGAATGGATTTAATGAGCAGCTTTATTGATGTGTTAAGGGAAAAAAGGGTTAGAATACTGAGATATTTCAGAAATGTTCAAAAGAAAGTAGCCTATTTTAATTATATATACAAAAGTCTCTAAGAATAGGATCTGATCAAATTTTTGTGATTTTAATCACTGCCAGGACTTGAACTGAGTTTTCCAAACTCTTGAATGCACTCATTAGTGCACTCATATTCCAGTGTTTGCCTTCTCCTATTCAAGAATATTTGAGGTTTGCCTTTTTGTATTGAAGATTTTCTGCTGCGTACGAAAAAAGTTTCATTGGGTTTATCTCTAACCCACGTGTATCTTGGGTCATCTTATCCATACTGTTTTTTCCAGGAAAGGTTTCTTGAATTTTCTTCCAACCTGGTATTCTACGAAGTGTCATTCTGTTTGCCCTGGACTTATACTGGTCCTGAGGCACTAGGCTTTGGCAAAGCTGGAGACAGGATTTGTTTGGCTGAGTGGATCTTTGGTCTGACCCAGTATGGCTGTTCTTATGTTCTTAATAGAAGTTTGCCTTTCTAAAATGGAGTAAATAATTCCTCACAATTTAGCTCCTTGAAAGTAGCATGGAAATTTAATAATATGGTTGCATATGATTTTCAAGGCTGTGTCTTAGTTTTAAAGGCGTATGTCTCTAGGAGCTGGAAGGACTGTTTGCAGTAGCTGGTGAATTTAGATCCATTGACTTACACTTTTATATTGGAATGCTGGGAGACATCTTACATGGTGACAAGCTTTTCTAGCCAATAGGCTTAGAGATGTTGAGTCATGTTTAGGAAGCAAGAGAGTTTAAAGTTGCTCAGTTCTTAATTGTCTAGTCTTTGCTTGACCTGACTGAGAATCTTTTCACTTTTAGGTATTAGTATATTGGTTTGGGGAAAGCGAGATCTGTATTTATAGTCCCAGGGTATGGGGCTTTTATTAGCTTAAGAACTAGAGATGGAAATGAAAATCTAGTTAACTTCAGTAATGACTAGTTTAACTTGATCTGTCAAAAGGCTAATGCTTTTCCAGTTTGAATTGTTTGAAGAAACTGCATCCTTCTATGCCTGTTCTGGTCTTCCTTTGACTTAGCTTTTTTACATGTAGGCTATTTAAGATCGAATGTTTTCAATGGAGAAGTGGTGAGGAACAATTAAACAGTAACTGTACAGACTTTGCATCAAATGTTAGCCTATGTGAAGATGGCATTTTATGATAAATAAAAATAGTTAAAAGTAGTGGAAAAGATAGCTTCTCACTATAAATGGTTGTAACTATTTGCAATGCCACCAGTATTCAAAAATCATGAGAATAACTTAAAAAACAAGATATAAAAGCTGCTCATAAGGCATTATCTTTGTTTGCTTTTTGCAGTTTTTCATCTTAGGGATGGATTACTTTATACTGTTTCACTCTTTTTGGTAAACACAGAGACTAAAAACATACTTTATTGCATCACAAAGCACATGAAAGCTTAGTCTTATACAATACCATAATTCTTCAGGTGAAGCTTTAGAACAACACATAATGTAAGCGTGTACAGATATGGTGTAGCTAGATAATTACGTGACTCATAATTACGAGACTCAGTAAAATGATAATAATTTATAATAATTTATCTACAATGTGAGCTGAGGCTGTACTTCCTGTTTCTTCTTGAGTTTATTTACAATATAGTAAAAATTCTAAAGGAAAGATTATCAGAGATTTAAATGAATATGAATAAATTGAATGGAAAAATCTGAAGCAAATCAGTCTCCACTTACGTGTTTATAAACTTTCTGTCACTCAAGCACAAGTCTATTAGCCAAATTTCTGTGAAAATTAATTTCATCTGGTCTATTAAATTGAGTATATACAAGAAAAGAAAAGTAAATATATTTCCTCTTTCTCCTGGATTCACTCTCTTGCTTTTGATATGCTTCAGTCAGGGGATTCAATTGGAATTATTTTAAAAGCCCTACTGAAATTATTAGAACTAACCAGCATAATTAGGTTGAGAATTTTGTCCCTGCTGTAATATTTCATAAGTATTAAACAACATTCTGTGAGGCTATAATTCTCTCCTAAATTACCCGAGTAGCCAAGTATTTTTCTGCAATGGAATGGTCAGGCCTATCAAATTAAATATTATATGATAATCACGAAATAACATACTCTTCTGAACTGGTCCAAGTTCTCTGATTTGCATGTATGGTTTATCTCTTCTTTTCACTGTCTCATCATCTTCATAGGCTGCTCCCTTTTGGAGTGGTGATGTGCACTGTTAACAATCTCATCGGCTACTTAAAGGGAGCCTTTTACTTCTAGTTCACAAGCTGGAGTACTGTGGGTCTGTCTTTTTCACAAAGCCCAACTCTTAACGGGAAGAGCTGCAGACCTTTCTTCAGTATACAGAACAGCTGAGAGCACCAAGAAAGGAAAAAAATATATGTTGCACAAGGAGCGAAACATCTCTTCTTTCACAGCTTTTTTACCTTTGGGAATAGCGCTCCTCTATACGCACTCGTCTCCTTTTCCTCTTGCAGAAATCTGCTCTACGGAGGAAGTGTGCTGCCTGCAAGATTGTGGTCCACAATGCATGCATGGAGCAGTTAGAGAAGGTAAGACATTGCCATCTTCTGGAGCCTGATGTGAACAACACTTAAATCTTACTGAGGTTTCAGTGTGGAAAATACCGTATGTCAACTTAGGTTTTCTTAGCTGTTTTACCACTATATTTCTTGACTTTAAATTCCATCTTATGTTTTGAAATACATTTCTTTAAATCCTGTGAACCATTAAGAAAAAAAAAAAAAAAAGGAAGGA